TACTAAACTGCTGTTGGAAAAATTCTGCTATTTGGTTTAATAGTTCTAAAGTTTGCCTAATACCTGATTTTTTATTTCAAGTGAACTGGTGGGTACATTGCACCTTTTAATACCCAGGATGTCAGTGTCTTATTCTGACTCATATTAAAGCCATTTTGAATTAATCTAAGGGTAGATCTGCAGTTGGTGTCACCTGTCATGGCTCCATTGATCCAAACAGAGCTGGGACAATTTTCACTAGCTAGGATTAGACTCTTAAGCCTTATTTTGTTGCCAAAACTGGAAATGGGAAAGTTTGGTCCATGAGATCAAATCTAGGCCCCACTTAAGTCAACTGTGGTTTTGCTATGCCATCTTAAAATGTCTGTAAACATGAAAAACCTTTATAGAGGCTGTCCAGTTGGCAGCCTATTGGCTGCATCTAGTCCTCAAGGGGTTAATGTGAAGTCTGCAGGCTCCTGCCGGACCACTGCTTTTCCCATTGCTCTTGCTGCTATGGTGGCTGGAAGCTCTGGACTTCCCCTCTTTCAGCTTCTGCTTCCTGGCAGTAGGGTGGCACAGTGTGAGGGGTGCCAGGGGAAAGGGAAAGGTCTTTGCTGCCTGGAGCCAGGCTGCAAACAGCTGGGAGAGGAACCAGGCTGCATGCAGTGAGGGTTGGGAGTAGTAGGTGGACCCTAGGAGGGCTGCCCCCTACGGTGTGTGACCCATGTACTGTATGGCTCAGGGCTCTGGGCCTGCCCCCCCCCCAGAATTTGGACAGCCCTGAGCTTCATAATTAGCCACAATACTTTCTGTAATGTAGCACTCAGATCAGTATATAAGGCATATTCCTTTGACATATCATTGATAGCAAATTTAGATAATAATGAAAGCATCTCAATTGCTCTTTGAAGATTTAAATAAAAGTATTTAGAAAAGTTAGCTAACTTTGTACAAAAATTAAAATAATGTTTGCTTTGCTAAAGCAAGAGCTTTTCTTTTAGTCAGTTTTAATTAAACTGTTACTGGTTTAGTAGTCAGCTTTTAAGCAGTTTGTCATTTGGGTTGACCCACATCTATTTTCTGCAGTAGAAATTCTTAATACAGATAAATATTTACTGTCCACTATCCAGAAGCAGCCTGTACGAAAAGGATGCACAAAGCATACTTTGCAAGTGCTAGTATAATATTTTTAGTGCCAACTTGAAAATGCATGCCTGACAAGTGTTAGTTTATTATCAGTCTTGTACCTGTAATACATATATTCAACAACAGCAATAGAAACCAAAGACAATTGGAAATAAAGCCTTCATCTTTTTGTTTAAATATAATTAACCTTAAAAGAATGGAGAATGCCAGATTATAAAAGCTTATTATTCAGTTAAAATACAATGCAAATACGCATTACAGCTGACGTACAGTAAAAGCTAAGCTCACCCTCAGTATCTTCCAGACTTCTGAAATTTTATATAAAAAGTCAACATATTGGTGGCATGGATCATCAACGTTCAGAATAGGTTTCAATAGTTTGTTTTTATGCCAGACACTGAACGCAATTCAGACTCTTTGCTTTTTGTCCTCTTTGCATGACTGAAAGCCTAACTGGAGTTGTCACATATCCAGTATTTATGCCAAATGTCAAAACTCCATCCTGTTGCCCTCACCTGCTCTTGATCCAGTATTTGCTTCTCTGAACAGAGACCACCAGCCCTGCTAAAAACTGTGGAGGCTTTTTGTAGTGGGCTTGCATTCACATAGCGCCAGAGAAACCACATCTCATTTTAGACATGATACAAACCCAGGCCCGTTATAGATGAAAAATGGTCCTTTGCACCATCTTACTTGCAAGTCTTATAAGCAGTATTGAAGATATGTTGTTTGTATCCATTTCTGCATTCCTTGTCAGTTTCAGGAACTCCATGTGAAGACACCAGGGTAAAATAAGAGGACAGACTGTGAATTAGGAATACCTTCTTCCCCCTGACATTCATTGATTACATGTATCTGGAGGCATTTCAAAGAACATTTTTCAGAGTATTTGTTTGCCAGACTCAGCCGAAACTAGTACAATTAAAGTCCAAAAATGCCACACAAGGTAGTTGTTTGCATAAAATAAAGTCCTGCTCAGTGCACACTCTCTTCTCAACGTTGTTTAATTCAGTTTTGGCTTCACAGTAACAATCACACACACTGTCCTTATTTCTGTATCATGAGTGTGGAGTTATGGGCAGCAACAACAGATGCAGACTCAGTCTGTCACTCCAGAAGGAATATGAATGTGCTTAAAGCTGCTTCATTTATGAAGCGAACATGGAACTGTTATCTGCCTGGAAAAAAGGAAATTGTGATTTTTGAAGGTTTTATTTCTCTCATTACTACTTGCTAGCAAGTGAATCATATAAAAATAGAGTACACATCTCCTTTTGAGAATACACTATTAAAAAAGCACTCTGCAAAATATTTTAAGAGACCTGGTTTCAGTTTCATGTGCAATGCATTAGGCCTTGCAATATCAGGAATGGCAAACCCCATTCTTGCAAGCACACCTATAAAGTGCCCTGTTGTAATCAGCAGAACTACTCACCCACATGTGTTTTCAGGATTGCTACACTCTTGTCTTTGGGTTCAGAGTAGTTGAGCAAAAATCTTTCAAAAAGTTACAAACAGTACCCATAAATGTTTGCTGTCTTAATGTTTGGCACACAGTTGCCTTCTTGGTTAAAAGATAAGGAACATGTGGAAAGAATTGATCTCTGAATCCTGGACTGATTATGGCTAAATGAATCAGAATCTACACTTCGACCTGCATCTGGAAGTGAACACAAAAGTATGAACTATAAAACATGGATCACCTGTTTACATTCTCAAAATGGCCCGTCTCATTAAGAGGTAAAGAATATTCAGCACCAGTTGAATTTTCCAGACACATTTCAAGTTAATGATAGCACTGTAAAAAGTTCTATGTCAGAGAGGACCACCCTTCTCTGCCAGCCTCACGTGAAATGAAGAATGACAATAGACTACAGAATCATTTAAATGTCTAGGGACAAGAGAGGTGAATGCACCAAGAAAGTTGCAGACCATGCTGGCTAATGCTGCATACATAAATCTAACAGAAGGTTTACCCACGTCTCTTTTCTCTTGGATTTAGCATCACTTTTATCTTACTGAGGTTTACTAAACACACTTTACTTCCTACTATCTTGAAAGATCATCTGCAGACTGGTGCCATTAAACCGTGTAACCTATGTTTTCCCCCAGAGGCTGTATATACACAATGAATAAAAGGTGTGAAAAGAAAAATGTCAGTTTGTGATCTATAAGGTCTCTGTGAGGGTAAAAGTCTACAATTTTCGTTCCTGATAAAAATCAGAAGTACAATTTAATATTTTAATAGTGGTTCTCCTATATCTTGAATCAGAATTATTTTTTCCTCTCCATGGAAAATTTTCCCTTACTCATTGCCTTTTGACCATTAATCTGTTATGTTCAGGCTGTAACATTTAAGCTGTATGTCACTTGACTAACTCAAGGTTAACTATATAGTCAGTAATAACACCTTATATGTAAGCTAAGAATGGGATATATGAAATAATTTTGCTGCTTTTAAAAGCAGGTGAGACATATTGTTCATGAGTGCATTCACTATTGGAACTGTTTTGTGTGTCTGCTCCTATCCTGAAGTAAGTAAAGCTTATACCAGAATGAAACACCCATTAAATTACCACAGTTTAGTTTCAATTTACTGAGGAACAGAGCAGACTGATGGAACATTTAAAGTGAAAAAGCTTGATCAGTTAGGCTAGGGACAGGCATTACACATAAACCAGTTTAAGTGATCAGAAACTGGTTTAAACCTGTAACAGAACAGACATCCAGTTTGAAAATGGCTGAAACCAGTTTGAGATAAATCTGGTTGAATGTAGTATCAGACTTAACTGATTTGGCTCAAACTGGTTTTGGCAACATCTGTCCCAGATCTTTTGCTGGTTTAAGCTAAACCAGACACCCCCAGCATCCTGGAATGCTCTCTGGGCTGGACAGGGCTCTCTGTTCCACAGCAGGGCTGGCCCCCCCCCTTTGCTCCCTGGCTGGAGCTCTGGCAGAGACTTGCAGGCACAACAGGTACTGCTGGCTTCCCTGTGCCCCCCTCTCACCCCCCTCTCACCACTCGCTGCTTAAGAAGAGATCCCTTCCTGCTCTCTCCCACAGCACAGACTGTAGCCAGCATGTGGTATGCTAGCTACTGCTGTGTAAGGCACACAGAACAGTGTCTGCTTAGGGCTTTTTGGAGACAATCAACAGCTCAGATGGTAATGTCCCTGCATTACTTCCTTTGGAAAAAGCTGTTTAAGAAGAGCTTGTAATGAGTGAGGCTTTGTTTTCTGATGGGGTGTTAAATGCTGATAAAAGAGCTGATAAATGCTCTGTTATCAAGGGGGTGGGGGAGTTCCCTAATCACAGTATCCTGCCAGGCCCTGGCAATGCCTCCCTCAGCTCAGTCTGTGCAAGGGAAGGGAGGGCTGCTCTAGCACCCCCCCCCCC